ACCATAAGATGAACGTCACTACGCTTGTCTAAACCTTAAAGAATTTGTTTACTCCTAATAACAGTGCAGRTGGGAAAATCCAGCTAGAGCTGTTTTGCTTCCTGGTGGTTTTACGCAAACTGTGTCTCGGTGCACATGTCGCTGTTACTTGTTTACAAAGAAAAATACRAGTTTGGGATGACTCAAAGTTAGATTTATTGCTTGTTTTCCTATTTTTGGATTTTTTTATGCTAGCTTTTCTGACAGTGACCCCTCCCCACAAATGCTATCAAAGACATAGCTGACAGTAACAGTTTTTCACTTCTATGTAAGATTTGATTTACTATTAATTGATTTAATAKTAAGATTTTAAAAAGCACTCCAAGGTGAAAAACGAGTTGTTTATTTCTAGCACCATACGAATGAATCTCTTCAACAAGGGTTTTGAAGTTGTTTTCAGCTTTAAGAGGGGAGGGGAGGCAAAATGGAAAATTCCAGAGCAAACTGAGATGAAAGCAAACTGATTCTACAAACATTTTTTCCTGATTTAATATTTTATGCAATAATACAATTATTTAATACAAAACCTTGTGCCCTAAATATTTAACCCCGTTTGATCAGTGCTCATTATTAGCAGCAGAAGCTAGTTGAACTCGTGCTCAGTTTGTTTTTCCACTGGAGTCGTTTCATCACTGCAAAATGACACAATTTCCTTCTTTCACTCTGAAAACATTTACAAATTTCTCAAGAAACTCGCTCATCAGAAAAGCTGATTCACAGTTTAGGCACTGCTGGATGTTTCACTGGAGTCAATCATGTTCGATTTGTTTAAAATTGTGTCCTTGTGTTTTGTTTTTTTATCCACTCGAGGAGGCGTCCGTGTATCTCTGAAGGGGTGCGAGGATCACGTCCGCGTTCTTCTGCTCGCTCTCAGCGCTGTAGAGGTTGTGCTCCTGTATGTAGCTGAGAACGATGTCTGGCAGCAGATATCGGACGCTCTGGCCCCGCCTCAGCGCGCGGCGCACGTGGGTGGCTGAGATCTCGTTGGTCACCCACTCGTGGACGGTGTGGATGTTCTTGCGGTGCTTCCACAGCACGTCCGACTGGTGGATGAACTTGTGCGGGTCGTTGCCACTGCGGGTGATGCAAACCATGCCGTACCGTCCCACGATCTCGTCGATATCCTCCAGCTTCCACAGGTTGGGAACACCGAACGATTCCAGGACATCGGCCCCACACAGCAACATCAGCTGAGGCCCGTCTGAGCACGGAGGGGACATGGAAGTTCAGTTATCATAAAGCTAGATTCTCATCAGAAAAATCAGTCTAAGATGTCATGAAAAATAACTAATAATTGCTGAAATCTTAAAGGGATCCATGATTAGTTGTAACATTAGACTTTATTTAATAAACATATATTTTAACTGTAAAATAAAGACTAAAAATACTGTAGGA